ATATCTTCATCCAGAATGGATACCCGGAGCGCTTGGTGGATTCTGTGATGCAACGGAAAGAGGCGTTTCCCAAGAGGGTAATTACTGAGAAGAAGTCTGTGTACATTTCTTTACTATTTTAAGGTGACACCTTGGCAGAGATTGTGCATAGAAGGTTATCAAATGCCATTAACAAAACGTTCTACGTGGCTAAGCTTCAAACTCGATTCACATTTAGCCCGCTGGTGTATCTAAAGTTGAAGGACAGAGTGCCCTATTCTGCTGCCTCTTTCTGTATTTACTCTTTCACTTGTTCCTGTGGAGCAAAGTATGTTGGCCGCACGACCAGGCGTCTGTCCGAGCGAATCCGTGAGCATCATTCTGCNNGCGGAACGGTCTTTGGACACGTGCGGTTTCGCATTCTATCCACAGTGGAGGCAGTTTCCATCCGTCTTCCTCTGTGTGCTCAAAAACAATTTGTGCAAGCACTCATGCTCCCATGGCCGGATTGCTGACAGGTGACCTGTCATGAAACATCGGAGCAAATGATAATTGGGGACCGATTATGAAACAAACTATTGAATACTTTAATTAAGTTCCCCCTCCTTTTTCCTCGTAAATCCTTCTGTGATACTATAGCCATATTTACTGTTGTAATGGCATGATTAAGACACACTGAAAACGAGCTTGTTTGCCAATTTGTGTTCTCATTACGAGGTAAAGGAACTAATATTGTGTCCATGTCTGGGTTTGTTTTCTCCGGGTTGCTGTGACCATCATTCACAGTGGATCTCTGTTTGGTGGTCCATGTAGACGAGGTCCCCCACATGCTGAATTCTGTTCATGTTCCATTCATCATTTTCTCACTCCTTCGGTCAGACAATATCGTCGCACGGAAACCGGTGTTTTGGAAAACACACAAACGGTGGATAATTCGTACAAATGGGCCGGTGGAGGGATTTTGTCCACCGCACCAGATCTCGTCCGTATGGCCAATCATTTGGCACAGATCTATATGGGACGCTTGCAATCACACGGTGTGGTCAGTCGGGACACTCTGACGAAATTGTGGCATGCGTATCCGGTCAATCCGGACGCAGTTTGGCAACCCGGTCTTGGTTGGTTCCTGGCCAGGTGCGTTCACTACACCGTCTCTCTCTCTCTCTTTGTCGCATTTCGCGATGTTTCAAATTCCAATTTTTATTACGGGAAAAACTTAGAAAGACTTCGCTTATCAAACAAATCCCGTAGGATGTTTACACTTTGGGTTTGGAATACTATCCCCAAGATCACAGTTAGTAATGTGATGTTTTTGGCGAGCACAGAAGAATATATTATGTAGTTGGGTGGTTGAAACGTAACGCTTGCCGGAGCATCATCAAACTGACGCTTGAAAGACACTAATTTTGGCGCACAGACCACGTGAAGTGGTAGAGAGTTCCATGTGCTGCACACTCTAACTGCAAACGAATGGCGTCTGGAATAGCGACGGCCCTTTTGGAGTGCCAACTTCAGTGGATGCGCTCTGATATGAACATTGGTTGATAGAACCAAAAGAGATCTACTTGTATGGTTGGGCTGATGAAAATTTCGATACAGTAAGATCATATCACCTCTGATATGACTATGTTGAGACGACCATAACCCCAGTAGCTGTAATCTTTCGCCATAGGTCTTGGGATGTAGACCTTTGACCATCTTAGTAGCCATTCTCTGCGGATGTTCGAGCGCCTTCTGATCTCGCTCTAGCCATGGGTTTCAGGCCTGAATTGAGTACTCGGTGTATGGACGGTTATATGTGGCTAACAAACGTGGAAACAAAGCCGGCTCAACCGATCCAAAAACACGTTTAAGCAGTCCAACCTATTTTACCACCATGGACGATGCCTTGCAACAGTTTGAAGAGCAACTCAAGTCTGTGCGAATGACTACTCCCAGATCCTTCTCGGATGGAGCATGTGGTAGAGTTTCGCGTCCGAGAGTGTAGAAAAACGACCCTTGTGAGGTAGTGATAAAACTTTACATTTGGTAGCGTTACATTCCATATCATTGGAGACAAAACATCTATGGACTTCGTCAAGGGCGTTCGGGAGCTCAAATGAATCTTCTGGTTTTGTTATTGTCCTCCATATTTGGACATCGTGTGCAAACAACAGAGTTTGAGTTCGTGGTCCGAGGATGTCTGGAGGATAATTTATAAAGGCAAGGATAAGACGTGGGCCTAGCACAGATCCCTATGGAACCCCACGGTTGACATCTATTGGATCAGACAATGACTCGGAAACACGAATTGTCATGGTACGTATTCGAAGAAACTCCTCGATCCAACCAAATACCAGTTCACGGATTCCATAGGTATACAGCTTCCGTATCAGTATTTGATGATGTACTCTATCAAATGCTTTAGAGAAGTCCAGGTAAATAACATCTACCGTTTTGCCTTGGTCTACAGCATGGGTCCAATCGTCCCGAGTCAAAATCAAGTTGGTTGCGCATGACCGATTTTTCCGAGACCCATGCTCGGCTGGGGATAGTAAGTCATTATTCTCCAGATGTTCCATTACGAAATCCACAACAATGGATTCTATGACTTTTGCTAACACGAAGCTTGAATGCATACATAATCTTATCGATTACGTCGGATAATCTCCTTCAGTGGATACCTTCTGAGATGAACATTTGTTAATAGAACCAAAAGAGATATACATGGGTGGATTGGGCTGTTGAAAAGTCCGATACAGTAAGGTCATATCGCCTCTGCTTTGATGACATTGAGGAAAGTATAGCCCAAATAGCTGTAATCTTTCGCTATAGGTCTTGGAATATAGATTTTTAATCATCATGATAGCCATTGTCTGCGAATGTTCGAGTGGTTTCCGATGTCGCTGCAGTCATGGGTTCCAGGTCTGAGTTAAGTACTCCGTGTATGGATGGATATACGTGGCTAACAGACGGGGAGACAAAGCCGACTCAAACGATCCAAAAACAGGTTTAAGCAGTCCAACGTATTTTACCGCCATGGATGATACCCTGCAATAGTGTGAGGAGCCCAAATCAAGTTAGTTGTAAATGAACGATTTTTTCGAAACCCGCGCTAGGCTGGGGATAGCAAGTCATCCATTGCAGAATCTGCAACAATGGGTTCCATGAATTTGGATAACACTGGAAGGAGAGTGGCGGGTCCGTAGTTGGCTGGATCACTATGGCATCTGTCTTTGTAAATTGGTGAAATAACACCGTTTTTCTTCACAACTGAGGAAGTGCAGTATCTCCAAACAATTTTTGGTATAGTCCACTTAAAGGATCGGCTATGTGACTTGCCAGGGTGATAGGGGCTTGTAGACGTATGTTATCTAGATCCGGTAATGAGTTCTTCTTTATAGCCAGGAACTTCGCCTTTATCCTTTCATTACGTTTCATAAATACTCGGTAGTTTGCCAACTGCTCAGCACTCTGTGTTCAAACGATTCCAACTCCCAGTTGTCTTAGTGTTGAAAGTATGTGTCACAGTCACTGCAAAAATGGCCCTTTTGAACGGATTGCAATGAGTGGTAGATCACTGAGGTTACTTACTGCTAGTAATTTCCTTCTCGGGCACAGAGGGGGGTTATGCAGACGAATATTCACCGCTTCTGCTGTAGCCAGCATCCGACAGCGAACCGGCCTCGGTATTCGCCCACGAACTTTGTTCAGGGTTCGGAAAGCCTCGGTCACGTTCACAGTGTGATTTGTTTAATCTGGGTGCATTGGTGAGTGACTTAATCGTTCCGGTGTTCAGCCACCCAGAGTGGTGTTCACGAATCCGTTCGGACAACTGCCTGACCGTACGGCCTGTGTATGTTGCTCCACAGGAAAAAAGTAAGTGAGTTTACACAGAATGAGACCACACAGTCTGGAACTTTGTTTTTCAGTCGCAAACACACAATAAATTCGCTTGGACGTGAACAACACACGAAGCTTGGATGCATACACAATCTTATCGATTACGTCGGATAATCTTCTTTGTATAATCTCAGTGTTTTGTACAAAGTTTTCCGTGCACTAAATCATCCGATTGGCTAAACGCTCCGGATACCCGTTACGTGCAAAGATACATATTTTAGTACGGAGCCCTTCTTCTAGCTTGTTCTCCCTGCAGATCTTTCTTGCTTTATCCGCTGGGCAACGAAGCAGGTTTCTTTTCACCTTCAGTGGCACAAAGCTTCGGAAATAAGTGTTTTGGTCTTTCCAAGTTGCCTTTCTGTGCACGGAACGCTGCACCAAAATATCTGATCGACGGATGATGCAGACGTCTAGAAACGACAGTTTGTTGCCATGCTCCATTTTTTGGGGGGATGCACACTGTTGGACCTGTTTAATAGTTCCGTTGTGTTCGATGTTGCATTGATTATACAATAAATGTCATCTACGTACCGCGTGTATAGTACACAGTCTTCGAAGAATGACTTTAGATGAGTGTTTTCTATTTTCTGGTCCAAGTCTAAATGCTGATCAATATTGCCGGTGTCTTCAGTCACCAGTGGTGGTAAAATAGATGCCCTAACAACACCGAGTGCATATTCGTTTCTAGCGTTGCATTCACTCAACTTAGTTTCCTTCATCTTCATGATTTGAACACATCTCGCCATGGTATTTCGTCAACTGGCGTAATTGGTCGTCTGAGAAGATATACTACTTCAGTTTCAGTTTTCTACAACCGGTAACAATGCACTCTCGTGTACTGGTTTTGTTCTGTCCGTTTTGACTGCCTATTTGGATAAAATAGCAGAATGAAAATTGGAACGTTGAGAACAGAATCAAATGGAAGGTGAAGAATTCAATAGCGTTTGGAGGGTTACAAAATTAATGAGTAGAAGATACACGAGTGTCACTGTTTGTGACACTCAGCTCACTCACTCATTCAGCATCTCTAACCACCGGTTGCCATGATCTCGGGGTCTCCATCCAGAGAGCCTAACCCGACCTATATGACCCAGTGTCCAGTATTCACCGAGTCCTTCAGCTGAGGGGTGAACTGATAGGCGATCGGATATTGATTTGGAATCATTGCGGGTTTTGTACTGTGGGCATCCGTTTTCGGCGGCTTTTCTGCAGTTGTTTACTAGGCGTAGGGAGAATTTGGCTCGTAGCAAAGCCTGGTACGTGTCCACGAGTGTTTTTCAGTAGTAACGGTAGTCATCGGTGGATCCTCGCCAGCGGTGGCTGATGGCCACCTGGTCGATTTAAGTTCATCGCTGTGAGGAGATTGGTGATATCCATGTCAGGCGCTGTCTCTGTGCGAGCAGTTTCTGGTTGAGAGGAGCAGTTCGTGGTCAGCGCAAAATTGGCATAGGCGTTCTCCGTTGTCCGTCCGGCTAGCTTGGGTTCCATCACGACGACACTGTACCTTGGTATGGTGTAATGGTTTGCGTGCCTCCATGACCCTGCGAGCTATACAGGATGGCTTCTCACAGCCGCAGATCCAATCATGCATGAAAGGCCAGTGGGTAGAGGCCAGACTAAGATCAGTCTCACGAGGCTAGCTGCATGAGCACCTCCTGGCTTCCCCTGATTATCCACTCCATCCCCTATAATTTGGGTGGATCATTCGAATGTGAAAAGGCCATTGCTCTGTCGATGTGGCCTCGTAGCTCACTCAGCTGGTAGAGCGTGCGATGTACAAAAAAACGTAGGCTGCATCCATGCGTGGAGGGGGGAGTCAAATTCCACCGAGGCTACTTTTCACAATCTCAGCTTTATAAACTTCAATCTGCCAAACAACTGTCTTCCAGGGAAAGAGTCATCTGCACATCGTGGAGATCGTGTTGCCTGGTTATTTGAACTGCTTAATTCTCCTGGCCAAACAGAGTGAGACAATCGTTACACGAAGAACAACGTACGCATGCTCATCGTTTCTCGTGGACAAATAGCCTTTTTTTGTGGTTTCCACCAGCACTTGTTTGTTTTTATCGGTCATTATGTGAGGATTTCTCTGGATCGTCCTTGTATATATCCTGTGTAACGACAGCATCTCTACGATCTTGTTTTTCATTGTGTTGATATGTGCCCCCATTAAGACAGAAAACATTGCGAAACATAAACTATTTGCATCCTGATGGTTCCTTAGGTTTATAATGAGAGAGATAGCAGCTGAACGATCAAAAGTGTACAGTGAAACAAAAAATATTGTGAATGTGATAATGTTAACAACACAACGATGTCGGTAGAGAATTATATTCGTCGACGTTTCGGTTACCGTGGGTAACCTTTCTCAAGACAGGTTTTACAATCAAGTAACTCAGAGGAAAAGATCACAAGTCAACAGATATTTCATCGTGCGTCTATGTGGTGGACTGAATGATTCGTTGTCTGACATACTAACTCCCATTATTAGATGGGGTCAAGTGGCACCGTGACCTTTGTCGGGATTAGACGTTCGGGATGTTAGGGTAGTCCAAATGCTCGGGATATCGACTCCATCGTTTCTGTCGTCACGTGCAGAGTGGGTGTTAATGGTCAAAACATTGGCATACGAGCGTTCAGTGCATATTCGAAATCCGAGTTGAAGTACTTTCGTGTTGTCGTTGTCTATGGTGTGACTATCAGCTATGGCGTGAAAAGCGATCGCTGAGTCTCGTTCCAGTTTTGTCAGAGTTGCTTCGTCCGCAGACCGGTGTTTTTCTTTTCTTTTACGTTCGGTTCTTCTTGTCTTAGGTTGTCTACTGGTCTACCCAATGTACTCTGCGGGGAATTCTGTACAACTGACTTTGTAAATGCAATTGTTTTGACCTTGCCATTCGACCGGATCTTTGGCTTTCATGAGATGGCATTTCAGAATGTTGTCAACCCGAAAGAATGTGTGTGTTTAAATTGTCGAGAATCTTTCTGATTGCTTCTAGAGTGCCTTATCTATATACGGAATGCCATTAGAGGCTACAAGGTCCTTCTTGTCATTAGATTGTAGCATTGGTTTGTTTGTTTTTAGCTAGAATCTCCTGGTAAGATCCCAATAGAGAAATGACACCGAAGTCCGCACTCCAAATCTGGGGCGGATGAAATGAAGCGGTCATTTGCTTTGTTTTACACGCACACACAGTTCACAACTGATGTGTACGTCAGGTATCTGTCTTTAGTATTCTTTAGCATTTGACTCACAATTGCTTGTGAGTAGTGGTGTGGGATAATTGGTTTTTTATTGATTTGAGCTGACTATCCTTCGGACTTTACCTTCGCGCCCAATCCTCAGTTCATCGATTCAACCATGTACTCGGAAGCATTAGACTATTTCGGTTTTGCTCTTCAGTAGTGCATATCCACCGTCCCGTCTGGGATTTGAACTCCGGACCTATCGCATGGAATGCGTGTGTTACCACTGTGCCAACCAGTTCATATCGTGGCTGAACCAAATTGCCAATTCATGCTTGTTCAGGTCTCGTCTTCAATGATAGTCAGTTCATTTGGCCCGACAGTAACGGACAGAGACAGGTGACATACTGTCAACTCCAATCGAAAGCCTCCAACCAAGTCAGGACTTCCATGCAGGAACGGACTGATTCGCCAACGAACCTACAAGGCTGGATTGATATTTAGCGTTTGACTCAGAATTACTTGTTGATCGAACTGACTCTTGCTACCTCAAATTCGGATGACCGTTCTTAGTCAGTAAGTGCTCAGAAATTTCACCCGCAATTCATGTGACATTATTTGATGGGCTCTACTGACAGGTTCTGGATGCCAGATGTCACTCTGAAAGCGTTTACGTTCCATTTAATAGACTATCTCACAATTCTAAACATATACTTTTGACCTGAACTACTGAAATTCCTCCCAGCCCATAGGGGCTCATCGGAATGTTTAGCAGTGTAATCAGTTTCGATGGGTCTTAGCAACAATTGTTCCATTACTGTCTCCCACGCTCAGTGTTAATGCTTTGCGCGTGCTGAGAGAACGGTATATATATACCTGCATTCATCAATACACTTCTATTTTGTCATTATCTACGTTCATTCCCGAAGGCGGTCTGGTGGTCCCGTTGCGGGAAACAACATCTGCCCAGATCGTCTCTACGTTCTGCATACGGGTGGTGCAGTGGGCTGTACCACTGCTCTTCTTCTCAGTCTGCCATGTTGTCCCACATCTGAACCGGCTTTCGATCGACCGGAACATCAGGACAACGAGGAATTCACTACGGCCATTTCCCGTGTTCCACCGGTCTGTGTGGCTGTTTTGACCAATCTGGAGGATTCTTCCGAAATCAGTCAACTGGCTGTCTCGTTAGCCGAGGTGTTTACAGAAGATGCGCTCCATCAGTGATATTGATGCTCACTATTTCGGCCAACCCTGGACCGGTTCATAGTCATCCACACATCACTCAAACGATTCTCGATTTGCATGTTTTTGCACGTCCAAATCTACTATGCTATAATTTTGCTCTACAAATCTAGGTATCATTTAGTGTCGTTTGTTTTTTTCATGCATGTGATTCGTTTTCTCAGTCCCGTCCCTCCCCCCTCCACCTGACCAATATTGGATCAGGAAAAAAGCACTTCGTTTTTGAATGATTTTTGTTGTTGATCATGTTTTATAGTTTATTTTCTCTTCTCAAAAAATGCATTGGTTATCACAAGAACACGGTTGGCCGATCGATCATCCGTTCCCGTGTCTACATTTGTTGCTGACCGGAATCTTTTTGTCGAAAATGCTGTACAGAATTGGGAGAACAACAAAGGGGTCAAGAGAAACAGACAGAGAGAGAGATGCGCATTTTAATTTTGGCCAAGAAAATGCGATATTTTATCAGAAAATGTGGCAATGTAGTCCATTTTAGGACACTGATATGCGCGCATCCGGATTTAGTTGAAAGCTTATATATATATATATATATATATATATGCACATTGATCAACGTTTTCGAGAACCAAAATAGTAACAGAGTGAGAAACCAGCAAATTATCCTTTGTTTTCAACAATATGTATCAAAAAATCTTCATGACAGTAATATTCGATTCTGATGAACTTCGGTTCAGACCCGGTGCATCGGTCTTTCTGTCCGAAAACTTTGGCGAATCGTATCTGAAGTTTTCAAGATACACCTAGTGCGTGTTTTGTTTTTCTCGTAATCTAAATTACTGAATCTCGATGCACATTGCTATTAAGACTAGTATCAGTGTTTTCTATACAGTTCGAGTCTGGGTTGCATGTGTGCTACACTGGGGCTGTGCAATAATAAGCGCGATTTTGTCATGAATTATAAACCAAAGCAACATAACGTCGGGAAGTGGTTTTGACTGGATCATCGCTGGCGTAAGATACCGCTGCAATGTACATACCTATTTGAAATCGTTCTCCCCACGTAGTACATTAAGTTTGACTGGAACGTTCTTTGGGAAAACACTCCGTATCATCACGAAATTGTTTTGGTTCATCTACTCAATGTTGTTCCATACCAGTAAACTGTTCCGCGCGTTTGGTTTGCCAAAGTTAAATGCGAATTTTCAATCGAGCCTGCTAGGTTTGTGGGAAGTCAGCTCGTAACCTGCAAGGAAGTTGGGAGGCTTTCGATTGAAGTTAACAGGTTATCATCTGTGTCTCCCTAGGTTGCTCTCGGTCAAATGAACAAATTGACTATCACTGAAGACAACACCTGAACAGACATAAATGGACAATTTGGTTCAGTCATGGCACTGTGGTAACGCACACATCTCCCATGCGATAGGTCCGGAGTTCAAATCCCGGATGGGACGGTGGATATGCACTACTGATGAGCTCTAATAAGAGCGAAACTGGAGTTCAGTGCTTCCCCGATGGTATGGTTGAATCGATGATGATTGTGCGTGAAGGTGAAGTCCGGCGGACAGTCAGTCGAAATCAATAAATCCGCCAACTGTGGATTTCCGTAGTGAGGTACTTTTTGACCGGTAGTGAAATCGATTGCATCGAAGTCACCAATGCTGGCTGGATTCAGTGATGTCATTGATCCACCTTCCTACAACTTGCCATAGTTTGTAATGACTTGTACTAACTCACTTCCATATCTTTGTTCCTATTTTTAGTATCGTGTTTGCATTAGCCCATTCGATTATCAACGTGTCCCAGGCATTGTTGATGGTTTTGGTTTTTGAAGTGGTTTAGGCATGCTAAATCCCAGGTGTACCGTCCTAATTATTGTTGCGGTGAAAATCGGCTTAATAAGACGCAACGTGACATTGATACTGGTGCTGAAATGGAATAATATTGGCCGGGGGGTTACAATATGTTAGTCACCGATTTATCTCCAGGCCCAAGATATCCAACCCGGAATCAAATGTGTGTGTAGCAGTTGAGTATTCAGGGAGTATGACACATTTATTGAACTGGATTAGAGGAAGTCTTTTCAGGGGACTCTCAGGGAGTTTACCCGGATGCAACTGAGAAAGTAGAATTCAAAGACTTCAATTGCTACATATAGTAGTAGTAGTAGTAGTAGTAGTAGTAATAGCAGCAGTAGTAGTAGTAGTGTGTTCACGCTCTTCCCATTTCAGAAACAGCCCAACTTTGAATTGGTGTGTCACAAGCAATCAAAGTCAACCATAACTAATGTATATCCATTTTTACATTATGATAAATGAGAAAGCATGAAACGCTGATGTGCACTTTAGGATGATTGGTAATGAAGTGGATCAGGCGATTGGTGTCGGGGTTTCGTACGTGCGTCAAAATTATCCTGACTGATTTCGACTAGCGGAGGGTGCGCAACAGCCTATTTTTAATTCGTTTGTGCGTATTTGATATGCAAAACTACGTGGAATCAGTTTTTTTGTTGAAGCCGGGCGACGGTCACTGATCGATTGTTGAGGAACAAAAAGCAAGCAAATGGTAAGACTGGGAGGCACGCATCGAATTCGATCGTCCCCATCTACCATCAGTGCGAGTGATTGAAATCGGTTGATATTACCATCATCAATATGCAGTGGTTGAGGGGATATCGGAGCAATGTTCTATTTGGACACGTGGATAAAGTATGCCAGTTAAAATGGTCCGCAATAATGCGCTTCTGTGTTCACGGGTTCATGTTGTGCTCCGGGTCACGCCATCCCTTTCCAACCTGTATATTCCATTAAACAAAAGCAATCATGGTTTTAAATGCTCACTCGGTATAACCAGCAACAAGCAACAAAGCACATTTGAAGAAGTAATGAAATCTTACCAAGCGTAAATTGTACAAATTGAAATGACAAACAGCAATTATGGTCGGATTCCGGCTTTTCCGATTTGCATAGGAAACCACAAACATTCAACTTGCAATCAATTCGACCCGCAAAAATACACACGCTACGCGTAATAAGAATTTCTTAAACAGAAGCACACTGAACCCGAACAGTTTAGAGAATAAGCTTGTTTTGAGTGATGCGTCAACCAGCTGAGACATTACATTTCGCATAGAAAAAGGAAAATAAAATTTCGAGAGTCAATAGCGATTTGCTATGTGTAAGCTTCATGAAACCGGATATCGTTCTGTTTTTGGACCGTCGTGCACATGAGATGAGATGGAAGGAGAGAAAGTTACTTCACGGCCGTTTTGGCGACCAAGGAGTGATATATGTCAACTGCTGCGGTCAGGACGTGGTGTAAACGAACGATCCCGAACACGGTAAAAATGACG